GAGGAATTATTTAATTAGATGGGCAACTCAATTCTAAGAACCTTGTTTTCTGGGGCAGCCACCCACCCAACTATGTCTATGAGTGCCAACTTCATGCGGAGACATACACTGTCTGGCTGCCTGGGTGTCACTCAGCCGCCATGACATTATTCCTGTCACTGCTGGGGCGACGAAGGATTCACGTCTCCTCGAACACATCTCTGTGTACTTAGAGTAACCGTTTTTCGTGAGACTCTTAACCCACTTGTATTTTAAATGAGCTTTAAATTTGTTTCCTGCATTAGTGGGTAGTGCAAGACTTAACCCTTTCATTACCTGGCCCAAGACGGTATGTCTGGTTGGACTGTGCGATAAGCGAACTCCTGTGTTATACTCCATCTCCCCCACCGTTCGTATTTCCCACTCTCACCCCTACCCAACCTTCTCCCTCCCCTAACCTTCCTCTTCCACCCTTTCCCCAATCCCTCTTCCCCACCAATAACCCCTCCCCCATTTCCCTAACCTTTCTTCCCATTCCCTATCTCAAACCTTCACCCCGTCCCCTCACATTCCCAACCCCTCATCCCACAGACAATTCCAGCCATTTCTCACATTTAGCAGTACCGACGCCTCAGTTAATACGTCACTGACTATGATACTGCCACTACTGTGCCAAAATGAGCACTATATTAAAGTTTTGCAGGTGCAAGAACTTAAATTCATTAAATTAATAGAGTATTAAAAATAAACAATAAATAAATGTTCTTTTTGTGGGTTTTGTTCATTTGCAAACATCATGTGTAATCACAGAAGATTAATTTCAATTGATTATTGTTTGCGACATAACCATAGCACATATTAGTAACTAAGTTGAAGGTAACCTAAGCATTAATATGTAGGCATCCAATCTGGTATCCATTTATTGGCCTTATTTCTGTACATTTAGATTTCTTTCTTTTTTAATCACTGAAGGTAGGTAATAAGGTTTTCTTGACTTAACCCAGCAAGTTTGAGTGGCTGAGGAAAAAACCAAACAAACCAGTTTGAGAGTCTACAGGAGAGGGCAAAGTTTAAGTTTTGTATAGACAAAGATCGTTTCAGCGAGATCAACTCACTGTCCCTTTCGTTGTGGTGTTGAGGGTTTTGACGGTTATTGGGCCGTCAGTGGAGATCGGACAACGACGATATCAAACTTTAAAAATCAAACGAAAAAGTTGCCTAAAATGAATTATTTTTCGATCTACTTCTATAGACTAAGTCCTGTTGAATTTACAGAAATGTTAAAAAATTGTACTTGAAATGTTCCACTCTGACGAAGTTGTGATCAATTGTAATAAAAAATATTGTCTCCTGATTGGTCAGGTTGGAGAAAGGATGGAGAGTGGAGAAGTGTCCAGTTAAACGGGACGCGATTAAGTAGCATGTTCTCAAATGAACACAGTGTTATTATTCTATGATTATCTAACAAAGCTTTAAATTTGAGGGAAAGAATTGTACTGCATTTATATTGGAATGTGTTGTTGTTGTTTGGGTTTTTATATGGTCTTAATTAGCATAATATCCTGTACACAAGTGTCGTCGTTGTATGGGTGGATGATGTTGATGGTGTTTGTTGTAAAGATGGGGGCTATGAAGGCAGGACGTGATACCGTATTTTATGAGGTACCGTAGTGATTTTGATGGGGATGTCGAGCTGACATGGTGGTGAAGGTAAAGGGGTTAGGTTAGGTAGCATTATTCTACTCTGTTTATGCTACTGATGTCTGACAAGAAATTGTCAATGTTTAGCAATATATTATTATCATTGTATCTTGCTGAAACTTGTGTTGAAATATATTACACATTATATTTGAAACTGTTGGTTGTTGGAAATTGTTCATGTCTTTAACTATCGTATTGTGGCATGGTTGTCAGTTATGATGGTAGGCTGAAGACTTCTTCAAATGCCGTTTGTTACTGAAAGTGCTGTGATTTATTATAAGATAGGCAGTCAAGTTTGAGTTTGTCGCTTAGCTAAATTACACGAAATGTGTTACACGTTTTGAAGGTGGAGCACTTGTTTGACCCCCTCCTCGCTCCCCC